AGAAGTCAGGAAGTTTCTCTCCCTCCGGGGCGCCCAGAAAGGTCATGGAACTGGAATCGCGGAGCTGTTTCTAGAAGAGGAACAACAGGCCCCTCTCCCCAGCTGTACCCCCGCTCGTTATTTGCGACACAAGAGCGCTTTGTTCCTGCACCTTTCTCTGAAGGAACATGGGAGGCTGTCTAAAATTCCCAGAATGTACATCCGCGATTTCTTTGGTCTGTTCCCCGCCCCGCCCCGTCCCAGGCCCTCCCAAAGAAACACCCAAGGATGGCAAGAATCTTCAGGATGTGAATTATGGCCTTTGACAATATTTGGTCTTCTTCCAGTTCTGCTTTGGATCTTTGACCTCAGTGTGGAAAACAGAAACGCCTTGTTTCTACTGAAAAGAGCAAATAGGTTTTCTTCTTTTCTTTAACTTTCTCTTCTGTGTTGGGGTCCAGCCAATGAACAGTGCTGTGATGGTTTCAGGTGGACAGGGAAGGGACTCAGCCATGCACACCCGCATGTCCACGCTCCCCCAGACTCCCCTCGAGTCCAGGCTGCCACAGGACACCGAGCCGAGTCCCCTGCGCTGTGGGGCAGGTCCTTGCTGTTTTCCTTTTTAAACAAAGCCGCGTGCACATGTCCGTCCCAGACTCCCGAACTGTCGCTTCCCCCAGCCTTCCCCACCTTCCACAAACACAACCGTCCGGAGTCTGTACGAGATGAGGACACAGGCTTGCGGCCGGCGCCACCTTCTGGCCCACTGTGGGCAGATCCCCTGTTTGCCCTCGGCATCAGGGAGGCAGGAGAGGAGACGTCAATATTTCAAACAGCAACAGGATCATAGTACGAGTTAGGTGTTCCCTATGAAACACATCAACATAGATGTTTTTAAGTTAAAAACAGAGTTGCCATAGGATCCTGTGATCCCACTCCTGGGCCATCTGGAGAAAGCTCTAAAAGATACAGGCATCCCTACGTTCCCTGCAGCACGGTTCACAGCACCCAGAACATGGAAGCAACCGAGATGTCCATTGACAGGCGAATGGATAAAGAAGATGCGGTCCATCCATGCAATGGAGCATCACTCAGCCATAAAAAGGAATGAAACACATACAGAAGGAAGGAAGTCAGAAAGAGAAAAACAGATATCATATAATTAATGATACATCAGGAATCAAGAAAGATGGTACTGATGAGCCCATATGCAGGGCAGCAAGCAAAATGCAGACATAGAGAATAGCCTTGTGGACACGGGGCAGGAGAGGGTGAGAAGAGCTGAGAGTAGCATGAAATATACACATCATATGCAAAACAGATATCCCGGGGGAATCCGCTGTGTGGTGCAGGGAGCCCAGCCCTGCTCTGTGACACGCTGGAGGGGTGGGATGGGGTGGGATGGGGAAGAGGCTCAAGAGCGAGGGGACATGTGCATACCTGTAGGTGAGTTGTGTTGATGTATGGCAGAAACCCACACAATACTGTAAAGCAATTATCATCCAATTAAAAATAACTTTTTTAAAAAAGGAATGACATAATGCCATCTGCAGCGACATGGATGGACCTAGAGATGATCTTACTGAGAACTGAAGTCAGAGAAAGACAAATACAATATGATACCGCGTACGTGTGGGATCTAAAATGTGATGCAAATGGACTTACCTACAAAACAGAAACAAGACTCACAGCCCAGAAAAGAGGCCTGTGGCTGCCAAGGGGGAGGGGACCTGGGGGGAGGCGCGGACGGGAGTCTGGGATCGGCAGACGCAAGCTGTTGCCTCTGGAGTGGGTAAGCAGCAAGGCCCGCTGAATGGCACGGGGAACTATATCAGTATCCTATCATAAGTGAACAATCACGGGCTAGAATCTGAAAAAGGATATATACAGCCAAATCCCGTTGCTGTACAGTAGACATGAACACAATATTTAAATATTAAATCAACTCTACTTCAATAAAATTAATTTTAAAAAATTTTTAAATTAAATAACTGCAAGATTTTAAAGAAACAAAAAATACAGAGAGACATTTTTAAAAGAAGCATGCCATCAAGACATATTCATAATAAGCTTACCTGATTTGTCATGAGGTAAATTCTTGGACTATGTTTATTTGCTGTTTAACAAAATTCTATATGGAAACCTCATTTCTAGGTTTCTTCCCCCGCCCAGGGATACACAGCTGTCAGGAGGACAGGACCTTCAGGTACAGAGGGAAGTAACTCAGCCTTTCCCAAAGTGTGTTCCCTGGAACACCAATTCTTTAAGATGTTCGGTGGGAAAAAAAAAAGAAAAAAGTGTCTTTACTCCAACAAGTTGGAGAAATACTGTGTTGTATTTGCCTTCTAGAAGAGGCACTGTGCATACAATCTTATGAAGGATTAAGACACTTGGAAGTAAAAAAAAAAAAAAAATCCAGCAGGTTAAATTTTGCTTCCCATCAAAATTTTCAAACTTCACGCACCAAAGACTATTTCTGTAGAGGACCATGTAACGAGGAGCATGCAGGAGTCAGGGATCTAAGGAACACGACGCGCAAAACATCGCTCATAGAGACACAGGCGTGTGCGTTGCTTGTTCTCGTTGATAGTAATTTCCCAGAACCAGGAGGCGGGCCTCGGGAGGGACCGGACCCGTGGCTGCTGTCTCACAAGGTGAGCAACTCTGTGAGCGGAGAGCAGAAAGGAGACGCAGATTCCGCAGGTCCTTGAATCGCTGAGGCCGATCTGTATCATCCTTCCCTGGTGGCTCAGACCGTAAAGAACCCGCCTGCCAATGCAGGAGGCTTGGGTTTGACCTCTGGGTGGGGAAGATGCCCTGGAGAAGGGAGTGGCCACCCACTGCAGGGTTCTTGCTCAAGAATCCCATGGATGGAGGAGCCTGGTGAACTGCAGTCCGCGGGGCCACAAAGAAATGACGGACACAACACAAGCGTTGCCCACGACAGCCATCTGAGTAATCCAGGAGATGAGACCACAGCTGTCATTAGCACAGCAACAGAATCAGCCTCCCCGTAAACCGCGTAGGAAGTGAATCAGCCCACTGCTATCTGAAGAGCTTTGCAACCCCATAGACTGTAGCCCGCCAGGCTCCTCTGTCCATGGGATTCTCCAGGCAAGGATACTGGAGTGGGCTGCCATTTCCTCATCCTGGGGGTCTTCCTGACTCAGGGATCGAACCCAGGTCTCCTGAGACTCCTGCGAATTCTCTACCACTGGGCCACCAGGGAAGCCCACCTGAAGGGCTGCATTCTATTTATTTACTTATTTATCTTTTGGCCACGCTGCACACGAGAGCTTAGTTGCCTGAACCAGGGATCAGATCCAAGCCCCCTGCTTTGGGAGTCTTCACCACTGGATTGCCAGGGAAGTCCCTGAAGGGCTGGGTTCTAACATGAGTATTGTAATATTTTGTCTCCACCGAACCTGGTAGCATTCTTGCTGTGTCTATCACTCTTCCAAAAAGGACTGGAGCTTTATTTCTTTTCTGTAAAATTAGAATGCCTGTGTTGGACTTGGCTTTCCAAGGCTCTATCAGCCTTAAAAAAAAATTGTTACACAAACAAGTGAAAAAGAAATCCATCACGTTCTCCTGTTTGATGCCTCTGTAGAATTTTAAATTTGTAAGGGAACTTCTTTGTATGTTTTCCATGCTAAACATAACTCCTTTTAATTTCTCGGTCACTGTTGTGGGATACTGTGCTTTCCGGTTTGGAGGAGAGAAAGGGAGGATTATATACCATAATCATCGTCTGGGAATTTGCAAATGGGTTTATCTGGCTGAATTTTGTGGAGGGTTAAGCAAACCTTCTTGGAGAAATGCAGTGTACTTTGCCCTCAAGAGTAGTAAATTATAGACTGACCACATTTCCCTTTCCACTTGACCTTCATCTTCCACAGAGAATTCTTCTGCAAGGATTTGGCTCCCTTTATTTTGCTACTTTAAGCAAAAAAGATTAAGCACCATGCCCCAGAAACCTGCTGTCCTCCTCTGGGTGTTCAGAGCACTCACAATCACACCAAAACTCATCAAGGGGCGTATTATTGGGAGTTGTCATACACTGTCGTGATCAGAGGTCCCATCTTCTTCCTCCCAAGAAGTTCAGTCGAAAGCGTCGTCTCCCGGGGCCTCCCTGGTGCTCCGGTAGTTAAGAATCCGCCTGCCAATGCAGGGGACACGGGTTCGATCCCTGGTCCGGGAAGATCCCTCATGCACTAAACCCGCGCGCCCCAACTACTGCGCCTGCGCCCTGGAGCGCCGGAGCCGCAACGCGGGAGCCCACGTGCCCGGGAGCCCACGTGCCCGGGAGCCCGCGTGCCCGGGAGCCCGTGTGCCGGGAGCCGGCGCTCAGCGAGGAGAGGAGGCCCCGCGCGGAGGGAGGCGCGCGCCGCCGCAAGCCCAGCCCCGGCTCTCGGCAACCGGAGAAAGCCCGCGTGCAGCAGCGGGGGCCAGCGCAGCCAAAATTCAGTGCAGCTCAGGCGTGTCCGCCTCTTTGTGGCCTAAAATAAATAAGTAAATTAAAAACAATTTAAAAAAAATATGAACTATCAACTCCCAGAAGGAAGCGCTCATTTCAGTAAAATCCAGAGGGAAACTGCACTCCTGCTTTCACACTAGGATGCTTCTCCGGAAAATCTGTCTGCAGTCAAGGAGACGCGCGTGGTCACTTCTGCCACGCTGACCTAAGGGTCGGGGGATCACTGTCATAATTGCTACCAGCATGCCTCAAAGTCAGAGATTTGAGAGCGGGAGTGTAAAGTCACGTTGAAATCCAAAGAGCTTATCTTGGACTCCCTAAGAAGAAGATAGCTTGGCATTGCCAGCTAGTAAGCATTATTCTATATATAAGCTACTTATAGACTTTTCGGCAAAGAGGGGACTCACTGGGAAAGACCCTGATGCTGGGAAAGGTTGAAGGCAGGAGGAGAAGGGGATGACAGAGGATGAGATGGTTGGATGGCATCACCGACTCAATAGACATGAGTCTGTGCAAACTCCGAGAGACAGTAAAGGACAGGGAAGCCTGGCATGTTGCCGTCCAAGGGGTCTCAAGGAGTCGGACACGACTCAAGAGACTAAACAAGAAGAAAACTTTTCCAAAGAAGTTCCTGCCAATCTGATTGAGTCCCCACATGCCTCCAGGACCTCGGGCAGCTGCAAGCATTCTGAAGGGCAGGTACACTGTCTGACCAGTGTTCATCCAGCTGTGACTGGGGCAAAGAGAGACGCCTCAGAGGACGGAGACCAGGGTTTCAAAGTGCATGACACACTGCTTCGTTTTTCTTTAGAATCCTGAAAAGAAAAAACAGAATACTGAGAGTTGGGCAGGAACAAGATTCCCTCAAGTAAAGTTTCCACTTCATTCCCCCCTAAAATGGTGACTCTCCAAGGATTCTAGAAAGTTCCGTCTCAATTCCTGGGCTCTAAGGCCCAGGACCCCCAGAGCTCCTCTCCGTCAGACTTGAAATCCCGCCCTTTGCTGCCGGCAGGTGCGAGGCAGGCAAGGGTGACAGAATTCCCGCAGGAAGAGCCAGCTCGCTTCTTGACCTGGCCTGGAGACTGGTAGCTGCCTGGCCTCGTGAGGCTCTCAGCCCTCATTATGAAGTCCTCCTGCCGCTCCGCACAGGCTTCTGTCTTTTCCCACCAGCCCCCCGCTTTCACTGTCTCAGTCTTTGCTTAATGAGCAACCCTCAGTCCCAGGGAAGCTCAAGAAAGGGCTTCTAGCATGCGCAGGGGTCTCATCGATGCCTTCTCAGTTTCCGGGGGCATTTGTGGTCAACACGGAACCCTAAGGTTCTCTTAATTTCCGCCCTCCTTGACTGTAGCTACTTTGCCTTATTGATATGCTTGAAATAGTTAAAAAAAAAAAAAAAAATTATAGGCAAAGAGAAACATTGCCCTCTACAGGGCAAGTGAATCTCAGACTTTCATAGGCGATCACTTAAAGCAAAGAACATCTTTAAAATGGAGTCTTCAGGAAGGAAATTCAAAAAAGAGGAGATGTATGTATACGTGTGGCTGAATCACTTTGCTTACAGCAGAAGTTAACACGGCTATATATGCTCAGTCGTGTCCGACTCTCTGCAACCCCGTGGACTGTAGCCCGCCAGGCTCCTCTGTCCCTGGGATTTTCCAGGCAGGAATACTGGAGTGGGCTGCCATTTCCTTCTCCAGGGGATCTTCCCAGCCCAGGGATCCAACCTGCATCTCTTGCTTGGCAGGCAGACTCTTTATCACTGAGCCACCTGGGAAGCCCCTAAAACAACTATACTCCAATAAAAATTAAATAAACTAAAATAAGCAATGAGATGCTGGGTGTTAGCCTAGTCTGATAAAATACTAGAACAGGATAAACGGAATGCTCACTCTTTTCTCCTGTGACACTGAGGTGAATGAATGCAGCCTGCAGGCGGTCTTGTCTCCACCGCTCACTCAGTCCTCAGTCATGGACGGAATCAGAAGCACGCGTCTGTGGGATGTGCCCAGGGCCTCCCAGCCCACCAGTTTTAAAGGACACTGATCCAGCTGAGGCCTGTGTGAATCCCATCCTTCCCAGTATTTCCCTGTCGCTCCCAAGCAGGTCAGTATGTGGAGCCTGCCTGAGGAGCAGCGTGAATGGGGCCGTGTTTCTGCAGTCCTCCTGCTAAATGAGGCCATATAATGTGCGGTTGATAAAAACAGCCCTGCAACAAGCCCCTCCAACCCTACCGTCCTTCGAGCCATTGAGACGATGCCTCTCAGGTTACTCTTACTACGACACCAATCTGTGCTATCCACAAGCCATCCGATCAAGGCCGCAGCACTTGGCTCAAGCCAGGAAGCCCCTCCATCCTCATACAAGCCTGTCACGCCTGTCTTCGCCCCGCATGTCCCCCACCCCTGCAGGCCATTGGGGACGTTCTATTCCTGACGCATGTGGTTATGCCCTGTCCAGCTTTGAGCAAACGCCCTGTGCTGGCAGAAGTAGTCTCTTTCCTCTTCCCCTCCGCTTCCTTTTAAGAATGACTTCAAGTTGCCCAGGGTCCATCCTTGAGATTCCCAGGACCCCAGAGTCAGACTCCATTCACCCCAACTCCGCCACTTCCTAGCTGGTGACCGTGGACAAGTCACTTAAATTCTCTGTGTCCCATCGTCCTCAACTACAACATGAGGATGATACTAATACCTTCCTCTAAGAGGTGGTGTGAGAATTAAACGAGTGACTATATGATACTTGAAACCGCATCTGACATAGTAAATGCTCTCTAGATTTAACTGTTACCAAAAGTTTCACCATCATCAAAAAATGCTTCGTCATCCTTATCAGCATCATTTCCTGATCAAACTTTCTTTAGATCTTCTAGTACCTCAGTCAAAGGCGTGCACTCAGTCGTGTCTGACTCTTTGCGACCCCATGAACTCTGGCCCAGCAGGCTCCTCCGTCCATGGGATTTCCCAGGCAAGAATATTGGGGTGGGTTGTCATTCCCTCCTCCAGGGGATCTTCCAGACCCAGGGCTCGAACCTGAGTCTCCTGCATTGCAGGCAGATTCTTTACTACTGGGAAGCCCCTCGGTAAAAGAGGTAAAAGCCAGAGTCCTGCCTACAATGGTCTGTAAGTCCGATACAACCCGCCCCTAATTACCTCCTTGGCCTTGAGCCCTGCGCATGTTTCCCCACCCCCATCACTCAGCTTGCCCGTGCAGCTTCCCGTCACTTCAGATACAGTCTCAGCTCAGGGTCTGTGCACACTCTGCTCTCTGCACCCCGAAACCTCTCCCCCGAATCTCTCACGGCTGGCCATCTCACCTCCTCCAGTCTTTGCCCAATCTTTTTAGAGGCCTGCCCATGCACCCCAGAGAGAATCGCAGCCTCCTGTGACCCCCACCTGGCTCCTTTCCCCGAGGGTCTCACCACCTTCCCGTACAACAATGTCCTCCCTTGTCAAGCTCCCCGCCGCCTCCTCCGCTCTAACAAGAGACCCAGGGGCAGGGATCTTTCTTCCAACACAAGGAGCAGACTCTGACGGGAGGCAGGAGCTCAGTCAGTATGGAGTGAGCCGGACTTCCCTGGACGTCCAGGGGTTATGAATTGCCTGCCATTGCAGGGGGCTGGGCTAATCCCTGGTCGGGAAGGTTCCGCCCGCCGAGAGGCAGCTAAGCGCGCACAAGACTCCAGACGCCTGCAGGCCCTGGAGCCCGGGGTTCACAGCAAGAGAAGCCAGGGGAAGCCCACGCGCAGCAACAGAGACCCCGCCCAGCCCACAGTAAGAAACAAAGGCCATTTTAAAGTACGGAATGAACGAATCAGTAGAGCTGAGTCTCAGTCTGGGCCATGTGAGTTCTTCCGAAGGCACCGTGGCGCCTGCATGGCCCCTCTGATGCTAACCTAGACGAAATGTGGATCTCCAGTAGCTAACGTTGCTGGGTACTACCATCACCCATCCTATGGCTATCTGCTCAGGCACATCACAGCTGACTGCTTACCTGCCCGGGATTATATGGCTCCTATTAAGACAGTTATAGGTAGAGAAGGTGAGCAGGCAAATGTGTTTGCTTCATGATAACATGAGCACAGTCAGAGGCTGGAGAGAAGGCAAGATCCCAGACAGGGACAAGTCATGGGGCAAGCCAGCTGGCCAGAAGCCCCAGGAGACGGCACCTCAAGCGTGGCTTTGGCTAGATTCAGCCGCTTTGCTGTCGAAAACTCAGGGATCAGATCTGGGTTTTTTTATATTGGGGCTTCTTCTCTGGTCACTCAAATGGTAAAGAATCCACCTGCCAATGCAGGAGACACAGGTTCAAGCCCTGGGGTGGGAAGATCCCCTGGAGGAGGGCAGGGCAACCCACTCCAGGATTCTTGGAGCCTGGCGGGCTGCAGTCCACGGGGTTGCAGAGAGTCGGACATGAGTGAGAGACTAACATTTTGCACGATCCAAGTCGTACGAGTGAACATCGTTAACCAGGAGGCCCACACTGAGGATGGAAATCCAAAAGGTAGTTTAGAATTCAGGGTTTCCAAGGAGTGCAGAGCCTTCAAGGGCGTCAGGCAGTCAGCGTCTCCGGCTCCATCCCCAAACAGCGCCTTCAATGGGCGCTGCAGTACTCACGTGTGACTCAAGGTGGCGCTGCTGCTCTTCCCAGGAGATCCAGGCCTCCTGCCGCTTCCTAACTCAGCCTGCGGACAACCGGATGACTCAGCATGTGGGAAGCACTCAGTTGCCCTGTACACAAGCTCGCCATCACCAGCGCCAAAAAATTACTTTTTTGGATGTATCCATCCTTAGGTGTTCCATCTCTTTGGCAGGATTTAGAGGGCTCCAAGCAGATAACCAAGGCTGCCCTGGTGGCTCACTGGTAAAGAATCTGCCTGCTAAGCAGCAGACACAGATTCGATCCCTGGGTTTCAGCAAGATTCCAAGGGAATGGCAACCCACTCCAGTATTCCTGCCTGGAGAACCTCATGGACAGTGGAGGGAGCCCGGTGGGCTAGTACATGGGACTGCAAAGAGTGACCTGGAGTCGGTCATGTTAAAGCAGATAACCACTTGAGCAGTCCCATTAACCCACCTAAACACAGGAACACCCCTCGGCTAATAGAAGAGGAGGGGGCCATGCTGGTTGGAGGTTGGCCAACCATCGAGTCGTGCTTCTGCCTGCAGCAGGAGAGAGGCCACCTGCTCACTGTTCTGGTTTTCTTTCTTTTCCAGTCTTCGGGCTGTCTTTTGAGGAAGCCACTGGAGCCCGAGGGCCCAGCAGGCCGGCCTGCCTGATCCTGCACGCAGGGCGTGACTCACTCTGACCCAGGACGTCAGCAGCCCGCAGTTCTAGCCGAACAGACTCTGTCTGTGCCTGGCGGGCAAAGCCCTCAGTTAATCCTGCTGGTGGTCAAGACCTACCCTGTCATTAGCCCATGTACTTGACCACAGAGCTCAAAACATTTTAACAGCATGGGCTTGTTTAATCCTTGTAATCTTTGGTAAGTCTGCGGTGATCTTACTTTTCAAATTTCTGCTTTCTGTACTGGGAAACAATCAGTTGGGTGGAGAGACCCTGCAGAGGTCATCCAAGGATTCAGAATTAGAGTCCTGGACCCTTGACCTTCAATCAGGGGTGCTGACTTTTCTAAATCTCTGCCACAAATCCCTCCTTATCCCCCCAACCCTCAGCTCCCAATCATCCTTTCCTTGTGGATATAGTGTTCGTTTTGTTCTCTGCTGTGGCTCTTGTTGGTCAGCCCTGTTGCATCCGACTCTCTGCAGCCCCATGGACTGCAGCACGCCAGGCTCCTCCGTCCTCCTCTGTCTCGCAGAGTTTGCTCAAATTCATGCCCATTGAGTTGATGATGCCATCCAACCATCTCATCTTCTGCCCTTCTTTCTACTTTGCCTTCAGTCTTTTCCAGCATCAGGGTCTTTTCTAGCTCTTCGCATCAGGAGGCCAAAGTATTGGACTTTCAGCTTCAACAACAGTCCTTCCAATGAACATTCAAGGTTGATTTCCTTTAGGATGGACTGGTTGGATCTGCTCACCGTCCAAGGGACTCTCAAGAGTCTTCTCCAGCTCCACAGTTCAAAGGCATCAATTCTTCGGCTCTCAGCTTCCTTTATGATCCAACTCTCATGTCCGTACACGACTACTGTAAAAACCGTAGCTTTGACTAGACGGACTTTTGTTGGCAAAGTGATGTCTCTGCTTTTAATATGCTGCTCATGTTTGTCGTAGCTTTTCTGCCAAGGAGCAAGCGTCTCTTAATTTCAAGGCTGCAGTCACCACGCACAGTATTTTGGAGGCCAGAAAAATAAAATCTATGGTTCTTTTTTTTTAAAGAGTATACACATTCATACAAGTACATGAATCCAAATCTGTTTCTGCAGAGTTAAGCCACATACACACAAGTACACAAATCCATATCTGTTTCTGCAGAGTTAAGCCACGTGCCAAAGATGCTCTGTTCCCGGTACAGTGCAAAAGTTACCACAACCATCACATACCTTTACATTGGAACCTGACTTCTGAAATATACACAGGGTCTCCCTTGTTGATATACACAATTCAGGATGACTGATGAGAAATCCTGAGAAATCCTGTAAAAACACAATGGTTTTACTTGTTTAACCACATATTTTCCAAGCTCCTTAAATACAGGTGACTTTCCCCCACAGTGCCTCTCTGTGGACAACACCATGATCAGGTTCCTTGGAATCCCCCTTTGAAATGGTGCATAAAATCATTATCTCTTTGGAGCCTAGGGTTGGGTGTGCAGGTGGTGACCTCCACTCCTAGTCCACCTTGCTGCACTGGGGAATTCTAAAGTTCACCCAGTTAGTCTTCTTAGAGACAGTGGGATTTCTGTGGTCTCCCATGGCACACTGACGGTTGACGGAAGCCAGGCCCCATGGCAGTTTCCCCAGACTGAGATTATGGAGCAGAGCGCAGCTTAAATGCCGTTCTCTCCTCCTTCAGAATCAGCCCTGGGTGTTCACGGGAAGGACTGAGGCTGAAGCTGAAGTTTTAGTACTTTGGCCACCTGATGCAAAGAGCCAACTCATCGGAAAAGACCCTGATGCTGGGAGAGACTGAGGGCAGGAGGAGAAGGGGGCGGCAGAGGATGAGCTGGTTGGACGGCATCACCGACTCAACGGCATGAGTTTGAGCAAACTCAGGGAGGTGGTGAAGGACAGGGAAGCTTGGCATGCCGCGGTCCACGGGGTCACAGAGAGTTGGACACTTCTGAGTGACTGAACCACAGCAAGCCTCCTTCCAATGGGCCGATCCCACCCACCCTACCAGATCACCGGATCTCTCCGCCCAAGGGCCCTGAACCCCACCAGCTGTCCCACTGTTGGCGCCAGTGAAGACTTCCTATTCCCAGCCCTTTGGAGACGAACCCATCAGTCCCTTGAAGGTTTGATCACCAGGATAGTTCTACAAACACCTCGGTTCTTCATCTCTCTCCAAACTGAAGTAATAACCCTGAGGCAGCAATTCTCTTTTTTTCTACAATGAGAAAAATCTCAACTTGCTCCAGGAACATATGTTTCATCCCTTTCATTTGTTCAGAAGAGCAGGTGGCTTTGCCCCAAAGCTGAAGTTCCTCCACCACCCCTGGTAGCCTTTCATAGCCAGAGGAGCTAAGAAAAAACATGGACTTAACTTGAAGCCTTTGGGGAACAGGAACCTTACAGCAGTGACCCTACGTGCTGCCATCTGTTGTGCAACGTAACTGCATGGGTCCGTCTTCCAGCGCCGTGGAAGTGTCCTGGGTCATCTCAGAAAAACGGATTGACTTAGAAGGAAGTAAAATGCTGGGCTAGGGTGATGGCCCCACCCTGCTGGGCGCTGCTCTCTGGCCCCTTCCTGAGCTTTGGGACCAGCATCTTCATGCTGTGACTCCTGCAGACACTGGTCTGAGGACACCATCTTAGTTCTCCCTTAAACAATCACAACTGCCAAGCCTAGAAGGGCAGGGGGACCTGAGAGAATCAGCCCCTTTTCTGTGGATCAGATATATTCTTTAAAGAACCAACCAATCCCCCAAACTCACAATCACACACACACACACACACACACACACGGCCGTATTGCTTACAGGACTAGTAACTTCTCCATCTAGAGACATTCAGGATAACTGCCTGAACGTGACGGCCTACATTAACCAGATCAATTTCCTCAGTATTGCATTGGTGGCTGGCAGGGCTGTTCCCCTATGTATTTAGGTCAAGCTTTGCAAAGGGTGCATTCTTGTTTGTACAACTATTTTTAAGCTGTGGTTATGTATCACCATCCAAACGTACAAGGCACTGACCAGATTCTTTACTGTCTGAGCCACCTGCCCACCTATAGAGAAGGGAAGGGTTTTTAACTGAACTGAATTTGATTTCAGTCTTGAAACAGGTTAGTGATTTTTGTTTGTTTGCAAGAATGTAAGGTGGCCACATCTCCTATGCTGTAAGTCTACCTTAGAAACCATCACACAGGACTTCCCTGGTGGCGTAGTGGATAAGAATCTACCTGCCAGTGCAGTGGACACAGGCTCGATCCCTGGTCCGGGAAGACTCCACACGCCTCAGAGTAACTAAGCCCATGCGCCGCAAGTCCTGAGCCTGTAATCCAGAGCCTGAGAATCACAGCAGGGAGGACACTGCCGTGAGGGGGCCCTGCGCCGCGGGAAGAGTAGCCCCGGCTCCTCGCAACCAGTTATTACACAAACAAATACATAAAAACTCACCAGTTCAGGCAGCTCAACTGGCAGGCATTTATGGGTTATCAACCGTGGACCAACGACCAGGTGCAGAAATACTAAGTTCTAATAAGACGTGGATGCTCTCCTTTGAGAACTTAGACTCAAGGACACCCATCAAAGACGCCGGTGCTGCTGAGGGAGATATCGACATTGCTCAATGTTCTTTGAGTCCTGTTAGAAGTCACAAGTTCTTAGCTTCGTGGTTAAAGATTACAGCTTCTAGGGTGAGAGGGTCTTAACTAAGACCCAGTTCTACTCTTTACTAGCTGTGTCAACAAGAGCAAACTGTGTAATCTCTTTCAGTTTTGGTCTCCTGACCCACAAGGTGGCCGTCATCCTGGCCCCATCTAACTCGCTGCAGGATTAAGTGAGACGGTGCACTCAACACTCTGCAGAGAGCTAGCTCTCCACTGAAAGCAGGGCTGGCCTCCGTCTCCCCCGCCTCCCAGGGCTGGCCTCCGTCTCCCCTGCCTCCCAGGGCTGACCTCCGTCTTCCCCGCCTCCCAGGGCTGACCTCCGTCTCCCCTGCCTCCCAGGGCNACTTGGGTTTGATCCCTGGGTCAAGAGGATCCCCTGGAGGAGGGCATGGCAACTCACTCCAGTGTTCTTGCCTGGAGAATCCCATGGACAGAGGTGCCGGGCGGGCTACAGCCCATGGAGTTGCCAAGAGTTGGACATGACTGAAGTGACTTAGCACGCATAGCACACATACAAAAGGACTAATGCAAGGGTGAGATCAAGGTCTGATCCACCCCAGGTTCCTTTAAAAGGCCAGTGTCCATTGACACATCTTTGTATCTTGCGCTTTCCTGTCCAAGGGGAGAGCTGAGCCTCTCCGGGAGGGGCTGAGGGCTCTGGACAGCATGGTGTCCCTCCATCATCAGTCACCCAGCAGCCCTTCTCCAAGGACATCGCACAGACATCCTGGGAGCCACCATCTCTGAAGTTCAAGGGCAGATTCTCAGTTATTCCAGGGATGCAGTGAGCGAGCTTTGCTTTCACTGGCTCTGGATGGTCATGCAATATGCCTGGAGTTCTTACAGTGAGGAAAGAGTAAACTGCTTTCTTTTAGGCAAAAGCAGAGAAGACTCTGTAACTCCTTCCTTTAGGGTGTGGTGCCCAGCACATCACCTGGAGAAGCATAGCTACTTCTGCCAACAGCAGCAAACCCTGCACAGATCTCATGCCAGGATTCCCAAGTTCATTGTTCATCTTCCTGATTCACCCTCAAGACACCAGCGCTGTCAGACAGTTAATTAGAACATGCTCCAGTGCAGAAGCGATCCTGGTTCAGAGTCTTAACCATGCTCTGTACTCAAATGCCCTTAAAGTGAAACAAAAAAGATTCGAAAATAAAATCAAGCCAATAGGACGTTTCCAAGATGGTGAAGGGTCCAGGATCAGAGCGTCACAACTAATTGGTAAAGTTTTCTTATAAGGAAGCCTCCATAATCGTTCATCTTTGAACAAGGCTGTGTTCTAGGCACTATACTCAGCACTTTACATAGGTTTTTCTCAGCACATCCTCTCGAAAACTCTTTGAGAAGGTGCAATTATCTCCCCCACTTAAACCCGAGACAACACTAACGCTTTAGTGAGGTTTAGCAGTTTACACAAGGGCATGCAGTAAGTTTTTGGACCCTCTTCATTTCTAGAGAAAGAAAAAACATAATCTCAACATTTGTTGGATTGCCTCGGTAGTAGAAGGGCTGGTTGAATGAATCTGATCTCAGCGCCTTTAGGTGTTTCTGGTTGAACCATCTTCTTCGAAACCAACTGTTCCTGAAGGCTGAATTGACGTAATCAACAAATTCTGAACATCAACACACAGTCTACGTGGTTTCACGGTGGTTCCTCTTCCCGCCTCCCAGGCTGGCGCGATCGTCTACTAGGAGAGAGGAAGACCAGGAGGTCTGAAGAGCAGCACAGAAAAGCTCGGCCATGTTCCCTTCCTCCTAAATGGACTTAAGAAACCATCACGGTGTGATCTCGTTTCCTCGTTTGAAGTGTAGACACAGCTCTTTCTCAGTAACCAGAGCCCTCGAGGTCCTGCTGATTCCAAAACAGAGTCACAGTATCATCACAGGTTACGTTCACACAGGCTTCCCGTCAAGAAAACCCTCCACACTTGCCTTCCTCCGCTGACCATCACGTGCTGGGCTTCAGAGCTAAGTCCCCAGGAATGCGTATGGCATGGACAAATGAAAATGATGATGGATAACCAGGTTCCCAGGTGGTGCAGCAGTAAATAACCCATCTGCAATGCAGGAGACACAAGAGACACAGGTTCGATCCCTGTGTCGGGAAGATCCCGTGGAGGAGGAAACGGCAACCCACTCCAGTGTTCTTGCCTGGAAAGCCCATGGACAGAGGAACTTAAGGAGCTACAGTTCATAGGGTTGCAAAAGAGTCAGACATGACTAAAGCAACTGAACACAACACACACTCTTTCTCTTTCTTGGGTGATGCAGGTTTAGGGCCTTCTCCGCCACGCAGGCCTGCAGACCTGCTGAAGAAGTCTGAGGTCTCACTGGGTGGCCGCCTCTTCTTCAGGCCTATGTCCTATGTCCATCTGCTCAACTTCATCAGTGAGCCCAACACACCAAGACCCCACAGTGTGGGTCCTGTTTGTACAACCACGGGTACCATCAGGCCAGACGCCACGACTGAGACCTCCTAGGGGTCTAGGGCCACGCTGACGGGCCACACAGAGGAGATGGCAAAGGGCAGATCTGGCCTCCAGCCAGCTCCTTGATTGTACTGGCCACTGCTCACCTAAAAGTCCATCCTAAAGGAAATCAACCCAGATTATTCATTGGAAGGGATGATGCTGAAACTGAAGCTCCAGTACTCTGGCCACCTGATGTGAAGATCCCACTCATTGGAACAGACCCTGATGCTGGGAAAGACTGAGGGCAAGAAGAGAAGGGGACGACAGAGGTCTGGCGTTGAAAAAGCTCCCACACAGGAGACTGGACTCTTTTTTCTTTCTTAACAAGCATAGCTTGTTTTAAGCAATGCAGACTTTGGAAATTTTTCATTGTAGACCCAGAAAACTAAGACAATTGTGTTTTTGTTGTTTTCTTTGTAAAACTATTAAAATCTCGGTTAGATATATCCCTAGATTTTGTTTAATGGTTTTGATGTCAGCAGAAAAGCGCCATTTTTTTAAAAGTTTATTATCTACTTGTCTTTTGTATACATTGGAGGGCTTCCCTGGTGGCTCAGAGGTGAAGAATCCTCCTGCAACGCAGAAGATGCAGGTTCCATCCCTGGGTAGGGAAGATCCCCTGGAGGAGGAAATGGCAACCCTCTCCAGTATTCTTGCCTGGGAAATCCCAGGGACAGAGAAGCCTGGCGGGCTACAGTCAGTGGGGCCGCAAAGAGTCTGACAGGACTGAGTGATTAAATAACAGTAACCTTATGGGAATCCAGCTGATCTTCCAAACTGACCCTGTATCCAGCAAACTTGCTTTTTCTTTTCTTCCTGAAGGATGTTTTCCCTGGATGCAGAATAGTGAATTTACAGCTCTTTTCTTTCAGCACCTGAAAAATATCATGCCATCTCCTCCTGGCTTCCGCCGTTTCCAGTAAGAAACCACAGTTAAGGTGCTACATCTCTCCTGCTGTTTTCAAGGGTTTGGTTTTTTTTCCCTCTGTCTTCAGGTTTCTGGAGTTCGGATGTTCTGGGTCTAGGAGTTCCAGTTCCCTGGGTCTTGGCAAAGATTCCTCTGGTGTGAATTTCTTAGGATGGTGCACTGGATTTGGCTCACAGAACAGAGTTTGGCAATTCCCACCTTGATCAGATGTTCTAATTTTACAAGAAAAACTAGAAATAATGGAGTGCTTTTTAAATTTTAAATCCCCTGGTTTTTCAAAACTCTCAATAAATTCTAATTTGTTTACTCCAAAGTGCTGGATAAAAAAAGAAAGAAAGAAAGAAAACAAAAGGGAAAACAACCTTCCCAGCACCAGAGACCTCGGGACCTATTCGTGAGCCCTTAAATGTGGTTCTCTTTGAAACAGTAAAGTACCTTCCTTGTTTCATTTAATGCTCTTCAATTGCTTTAACTTTGACGCCAAGATGAAGATTCATACTGTGTTTTAACTTATTTTTTGCCTGCCCTGCCTTTCCCATTCTTTACATTCAACCCCTATGAGTCACTTTGTTTTCCGATGTCTCTTTTCTCAGCTTACAGTTGGGTTCAGCTTTGTGATCCCGTCGTGTTTTAGAAACAATGCTACTTAGCCCGCTTACAGTTATTGACACGCTAGATATGATTAATCTTAATTTGCTTCCTCTGTGATGAGTGTCTGGGCTTCTGAAGGCACAGACGCAGCTACAGAACACATTCCAGCAAAGATTTAGAAAAGCATGTGGTCGCCATGACTACACTGATAGGATTTCACATGTCTAATCCTCCATGGGATGTCTAACCTCTGATAACTCAGTACTTAAAAGATCATCCTCACTTATTTACAGGGACAAAGATTCCCCTGAGAGAAAACCTTTGAAGAAAAAGGAATTTCCTCTCCCCTTTCTGCCTCCTTTCGGCAGCACGCAGAGGAATGTAAGCCAGCACGGGCGGGTGGGGTTTTCTGTTTCCCGCACACGGCGGGCGCCCCTCACTCCAGAGCCGCCGGCTGTCTGGCAGCTGGCCCTCATTCCAAGAAGCGGACGCTCAGGCATGTGACACCAGGACTCACTCGGCTGCCCCCCGAAGCAACTGGAAAAATCTGCTGGCTCTGGCTCTTTTGCAGTCTTGCAACAACTCAAGCTGCCAGAGGTCAGAAAGGCATCATGAGAAAACCCCCTCCTTACTGCAGGCCTTCTGCTTCTGCGTCCTAAACAGGGATGACGGACAAGGGAGGGGGTCCTACCTGGGTCCGAGCCCCACGCCTGTATCATGGACCCAGCATCCATCCTTCCCCCCCGCGCTTCCCAAGCCCCACGTTCAGACTGAGGGGGGCACAGACAGAGGGTGCGGCAGTCGCCAGGAAACTTTGAGAAGGAAGGGAACAGCAGAGCATGTGTCTGGCAGGCTGGTCACGGGATAATGGACTCTCCAGCTGAACTTCCAGGCACCTGGGGTGGAAAGTGCACGTCTCCTTGCGTCGAAACTGGAGCACTCAGAAGGATCAGATCACGCTGGTCCAGCCAACCTGAGCTGGCCAGGACTGAGGCTGGGATTTCTCAGCCTTGAGGGCCAGCTGTGTCCCAGACAGCACAGCCCACGGAGGCAGCCAGTCCAGTGACTTGCATCTCCAGTGGATTCTGTGGCAGCTTCCACTAGACTTCACAGACAGGAAGCCAGGGGTTCAAGTTCAAGTTTCGCCAGAAGCCCTCCCCTGGGCCTTAAGCAGTGGCTTTTGCTGAGCAGAGTAAGAGGCTTGAAGTCAGGCTTAGACGTGAATGTTGTCTCCGC